CCTGCAACTGATATTGAGGAACAAGTTTGTTGGCCAAAAGGTAAATTGTGATGCTGGCATCTAATGGGCAAGCCATAATGCACGCAATACGTCCAAGGGTTCTACTTGCCCCCTTTTCAGCTTGGACTTGGATTACAAATGCATCATCAATTCTCATCTCGCTTACTGATCGACACACTGCATGCGCAATGCTTCTAATGCTCTTATCCGGTGATTAAGAAATATGAAGGAAGTGTGGCAACATAATATCGACACTCCTGATGGATCAGGTATTTTCCACAGATGGGCACTTTGCTACCAAAACCCCAGGGATAAAGTACTGTAAGCCTGTACCTAGATAAACGGTATCCGATGAGGACCTTGCTACTGTTGGAAGTATCAACATTGAATACTTCAAGGCATCTACAACGTACTGTACAACCTCTGGTTTACCAGCCGATTGTAAATCGGGGACCAGAAGATCCAACATTTGACCTTGATGTGTTGTTGAAGACATCTTTACTACTGCGGTCCCCAAGGCCTTCATAGGTCCGGAACGTTACAGATAATAAAAACAAAGGCAAGTACCTTGATCAGTCATCTTTTTTTGTTTTACCCCATGATTGACATGAATCCTAGTGATCCATCCTGTTTTTACTACACTCTGCGTTTTGTTTGTGCCCATGCTAAACAGTATAATACTATACACCTGTTTTGACTTTTGATCAGCTGCTATGGTGGAAGGCACTCACAATAATCAGGAGCCAGCCAAGTGACAGTGACTGAAGTAGTGTAAGCCTTATATGCTGGGTGGAAAGGAGATGTCTAGAGCTGCATGTGCGGGGCCATTTACTCGTTGATGCTGCTCGAAATACAATGCTGATAGCAGACTTGTATATTGAACATCTGTCAACGAGAAAAAACAACCTTCGGAAGCTCCTATAGTGATCACTATAGGAACTTCCAGAGGTTGTTCAGCACCAAGGTGTTCCATGTGGAGTAGTTAATTTCGGGGAACAGCCCACTTAAGTCCCCACTCGAACAACTACTAACGGACAGCATCTTCCTGTTCTTAATTGTGATGTAGCGATTGAGGAAGAGCAGATTCCTGGAATTAATTGTGATGCAGCAGAAGTTTAAAGCCACAGTTCTTGTCGTTGATGACACAAACCTGCACATCTTGCTGATCTTCTACGCTGATTTGAATGCAAAGGACTTCTTTTTTTGCACCTGAGCCCAAGGCAAACTCCAAGAAGAACCGAACATAGAATATCAAACAGCTGAAGGAAACTGTAGGAAGTAGTGTGTGTGACTACTTTCTCTTTGACATGTGCTTCTGAGCTGCGATACAACGTCTCGCATATTTGTACTAGGGAATGGCGTGGCACTAAAGAAAATCATGAAGAATGACGACTTCTGTGAGCTTGCCATGGTATTTAGTCAGCCGGCATCAGACCTGAAGGAGACCATTATTCCAGCTGGAGAGAAGGCACTTGTATGCCTGTTTGGTGATGACTCAATAGAAGATTGCGTAAAGGTATCACCAATCTTATCTGCCTTAGAAGCAAAGACTTTGCAGCCAACTTCAGCAGCAGGAAAGTTCCACAGTCTGCGTGTGTACTATCATATATTTGAATGGAAAGGAATGGCAGACAGCCTGACATCAGGAAACTGAGTTGGCAGGTCATGGATGGGAAGTATCTTCCAATAAAAACTGATAAAAGACCAACACCCGCATCACTCCTAAAGGTCATCAGATGTGGATGCAAGAAAGACTGTGCAGCCAAGAAATGCACGTGCCGGATTGTCGTGGCACTAGTTGCAGCAACTAACCACCATTTTAGGCCTACCTAGAACTTGATGATACTACTGATCAGCATAAATGTATGTGTGTTGAAGACTACCAACTCTAATCAACTTAAAATACGTATACTAAACTATAGGCCTCATGATCTGCATCCTGTTATAAGAACTGCACTGGGATTGTAAACCAACATAAACATATTATAGCTGCTCTGAAATGCACTGTAAGGTGAGAATCAACACAACATTTATGCAAATTAACCCACTTAAACAAAAATGTATGTGTATGCAAATTAAAGAACCTAATTATGATACATTTGAAATATAACAATATTTTTAAAATATGACTAAGTGTTGTCGCAATTATTCTGAATGCAACAAAGGACAAGGAATATAATTATAATAAATTATCTACAAAAATGTTTAATTTAGCGGCCATTTTAAATTTAAGCAAATTAAAACACTAAACCAGACATATGAAACCTTGTGCAAACAACAAAATTCTTGGAAATAACATTTTAGACTTTCAAAGTACACTAAAAGTATGCTAAAAGGTATGTATGGTGAATATTTTGACTAAATCTAGGAGAGAACCTTAGAATTGGCGGCCATTTTGGATTTATGTAAATTAGACACAATTAATCCACAACACGGATAATGTAAGGTACAGGCTGTACCCCTACATTTCCCTACCAACAGCTCGGGTGCTTGTACGGATACTCATAAGGGCAAGTTTTTTTAAAATTTTGTTTGTCTTATTTTTTTTCGGTATAAAATGACATGATATTTGTCTCGTGCATAATGAATTAACATCATCTGCTAAGGTGATAAATCAAGCATACATTACAAGTTGGATTGTGTGGGTGTGGGTGTACGGGGGACTTGTTTCAGGTGTGTGATGTACCTGCAGTATATGGGTATTTTAGTTGATACAAAATGTACAGCAGATCACTTTTCCTACTTCTTTAGTGCCACAACAGCCAGTAAATTTCACACCATGTTTAGTTCGGCCAGTTTTAACCGTTTTGGAAGTGCTTGTGCTCACAGAGTATACCATTGGTATTTGTTTTTTAGTTTTAAAGTTCACCATGCATAGTTTATGGTAATACTGCATCAACTGCGGGAAGATCATTGACAGACGCAATATTTTTGTTTTAGTTTTTTCAATATAAAATGACATGATATTTGTCTAGTGCATAATGAAATAACATCATCTGCTAAGGTAATAAATTGAGCATAAATTACATTGTGTGGGTTTGGGTGTGCGGGGGGGGGGGGATTTGTTTCAGATGTGTGATGTACCTGTAGTATATGGGTATTTTAGTTGATACAAAATGTACAGAAGATCACTTTTCCTACTACTTTAGTTCCACAACAGCCTATACAAGCTGACAAATATGACAAAATCTATGTGAAAATCCTCGAAAAAGCGGCCATATTAGATTTATGCAAATCAGGGACACTTCCATTACTTGGATTTTGTTGGACTTTTAGTATGTCATTTTGGGGACCTCACTGAAATGCATTGCAGTGAAAAATATGTTATTGCAATTTGTTTTACCTCAAAACACAATATTCCTAGCCTATAAAGACAGTATATATTTGTATAATGTCATCTGCCTTCATCATCTGCCGTATGTACACACGTTGAATATGTGCCATTCCATTTACTACAAAGCCCTACCCCTCGCAATTTGCACAACAGTAGATGAACGATTACATTTTGCATTAAACGTATGTAGATTCTTTTTACGGGCACTTCACGCATAATCCAGGAACCCCACATTTGGTAGCAAAACACACACACTTCCCGTTTGCATATGCATTTGTGTAACGATATCGATTTGTAAGGAGAGGAAACAAGGGTATAGGAGAAGGTCACGGTCATTACAATGAGATCAGCTATACATTGTTGATATTTTTGACCGCCATCTCAGATAAGCCCATCTACCGTGTTAAACCAAGCCCATCAAAAGTTATTTATTAACCGTTTTATTATTTCATTATATTTAATCTATTTTATCTTATTGCTTGTTTGTTCGATTGTGGTTGTTTCTTTTTCTTTTTCTTTTTCGGATAGAGTATAGTTTTATTGAAATACAATAATAATAATAATACATAACATTTATTAGGCGCTTAATACTGATGTTTCTAAGCGCACAGTGTTCTGATTAAGAGAAGACTATAACCCGTAGAATTAAATTAGAAGAAAAAGCAAAAATACAAAAGTAACATAGATAAGGTAAGAAAAACGATAGTGATTATCTTCAAACTATGCTTGAAAAGGAAATCGAATAGACAATTATGCTTCAAGGATCCAATTGAAACATTTCCTGTTTTCACCTTCAATATCTGAATATTAATACATACAACTTAAGGAGGCTCAGTGGATAATATCACAAGGAGAAAAATTGTGCTACATGTACATGCCCTATATATGCATAATATTATGTCAATAGCATATTAAAGTTCAATATTTCAACTGCAAATATTCAAGCCAAGTCCTATTCACACAACTACGGTGTCGACTTTGTACCATATTCTATCAATAAACAGTCACGATGTATATTGAAATATAGTTTATGACACCATTGCTGAAACGGTACTCCAAACCAAATGATGATTACATACATAAATATTGAGAGAAAGAGAGAGAGAGAGAGAGAGAAAAAGAGAAATATATAGAGAGAAATAGATAGAGATAGGGAGAAAGAGAGAGAGAGAGAGAGAGAAAGAGACAGAGAGGGAGGGGGTGTAGATCGATGACATATCTAAGTGCAGTTCTACAATTAGGCTTGGAGCTACATGTTGGGACACGTATGCGTATATAGCACCGTATACGCCTAGGAATGAATTTCTGGATCTAATTTCCTTTCTCTTGAACAAGGGTGCCAGCATCCTGTGGGACGACAAAGATGAAAAGTCTGGCGTCTTGCTAAACGTAATTTTACATGGCGATCTTAACATTGTTACTATACTTATCGGCGTTGTCTAGGACACGAACAAAATTAAATTGAAGGAGAGTAGCTTCTAAACATAGCAGCGTTCAGTGGACACGCCAGTATAGAAAACTCGTTGTCAGCAAAGGAGCAGATATTAAGGCCATTGGTGATGATGGTCGGACACCATTGCATGTATCTTACAGAGAGGGTCATCTAGAGATTGTTCAGTTTTTCTTTTCTAAAGGACGGGGCATCAATCGCCAAACCTTTGACGGGATGACTCCACTTGCGATGACGAACAAACGAGGCCATGTTGAGGTTCTGAAGTACCATATCAGCAAGGACGTCGAGATTGAGAGGTCCGACAAGGACGGCTGGCCACCACTTATTTGGGCATGTGTCCGAGGGCTTCTATCCACAGCTAACGATCTCCTTCATGTGGGTGCAGATGTCAATGCCGCCGACAAACGCGGCTGGACAGCACTGCATTTCTCCATCCATTACGATCGTCTGGATGTCATTAAGAGTCTTGTTTCTGCAGGAGCTGATCTCAACTGGCCAGATGAAGACGGGACCACACCTCTTCATATCGCTTGCTTCAACGGTCTCATTCAAATTCTAAAGTATCTGCTAATCAATGGAGCTGATCTTCAGAAAGCAAAGTTTGATGGGACAACACCGCTCCATTCCGCGTCTACTGAAGGTCATCGCAACGTCGTCAGTTTCATTTTACAGCAAAAAGAGGTAACTTGTATAAAATAAGGTCTTTTTGGAACGGTTTCCATGCCAATAAGATATTGTTATTTTTGTTTGTAATCGACCTTCTCCAATATAGGTTAGCACTTCCACATTATTACATCGTGTGCTCAAAACTTGTCTTACATATTTTTTTTTTTTTTTTTTTGGATAGACTAGATATATAAATGATGCACAGGTGTAGGTTGGTCGGTGGGAATTGTGTGCACGAGGTACCTTTGAATGGTTTTATACCGATTTCGAAGGTACCGCGTGTACATGATTACACCGACCCACGAATTAAACCTGTGCTTCATCTGTTTTATAAAATGGGGCAAATATGAAAAAATCTCCAAACATACAAATATATGTTATGTTACAAATTTACCGGCTGTATGGCAAAATCATGCATACTAGGAAATTACCAGAAAGCATGATTTTTTATTTATCATAATTTGACTGTTTGGTTTTCGGTGAGCAGGATAATTTGAATCGCCTATTTCTCATCTTGTTATCGGCTATTCTATCGGCTTTTTCTCCTTTGTACCATTTAAAGTGGCCGTGTCATCGGATGCGTCCGGATGCATCCGATCAAAATCAGGCCAGTTTGAAAGGGGTATTAGATAGCGCAGTCCATCTGCATCGGTAGAGGTTGTGAAATCAGACACTTTGATATTACGTACATTCTCACGACCTGTATTACAAAACAAATTCATTAAACCAAGAAACACTTTGTTATGCTTATCCTTTGGGGAGGTGCAATCTAACTCTGGAGAGGTCTGGATCTTGTTCACATCAAGTTCAGATATTGACGCTTTATGATTGGCGCTTTCCAGCCTCTCCCGGAAAATAGAATTTATTACATATATCTCAAGTGCAGTGATAAAAAAGTGGCGTTGCATGCCATAGCGGAGGCAGGGAAGAGACTTCTTCGTATGCAACTCACCGTCACTATAAGTCTTACGCAGAAAAGCAGGGAGCGATGATAAAAGTTTGTGCAATGTTGACGGTGGAATGTCTCCTAAATTGACATTCTAGATCTGTGCAACTTTTTTCCAACTTTGAGAATACAAAACATCCAACAATTTAGATAATTCCTCGTCTGACAACAGGTAGGCAATCTTGTTGGCACAGACGATGTAAGAAACGGAATATCGGTTGCATCGATTGTCAATAACGAACGGGAGAATTGGGAGCAGCCAACTCAGCACCAAGGCGCCCGTACTGCTGGTGCAAATAGTTGATAATTTTCGGCCGGTGCCCGGCCGGCTTCCGTACAGTTCTCACGAGCGCCGGGTCATCTTTTACAGCCGTACGGGCGGCGTGGTGCTGAGTTGGCTGCTCCCAATTATCACTGCGTTTTCTTCAGCCCGCTATGTCATTGAAGGCCCGTAAAAGGCCCGCGGGACACCGTACAGGTCCCGTGCGGGCTCCGGACGGGGCCCGGATGGGCCCCTGAAGATTCTTTTTGTCAATTCCTAATGTAAAAGCGCAGCTTTAAATGCAGAAGGCGCGGATGTCAGAGGACATAGTTCGGTACACCGTACAGGACCCAGACGGGCGCCCTGAAGACCCCGGTCAGGCCCCATGAGCCACGGGGTGCAACTTTTCATCGGACGGAGCCCGAAAGCTTACCGGCCGGGACCCGGTCGGCACCCTTACGGGAGACTTGCATTTTCTCTCCACCAATTTTCACCGGGCATTTCCCGGGCGCTGCAGAATATGTGACCACGCACTATTGCCTGGATAACATTTACGGAGCCTGTATCCTTCCCGTATCCCTTTCCCGTGCGGCCTCTGTGCGGAGGCAGGAGGCGACCGCTAGATATTCGTGCGGATTCACGGACTCTGCGGCCTCTACGATTTTGTTTCGCGAGAAGTTATACAGATTTGAAAAATCGTGTGCGCGTAGCCCGTAGACATGTCGTAGGTGGCATTGCACAATCCCCGCACGGGCATTGTGTAGAGGCCCCGCACTGATCGTGCAGCAAACGCTCGATTCTTCGGTGAACATGGGGGCCAAAAACGCTCAAAAACGGCACGGCGGCTGCACGTTCACCGAGCCTTTTCCATGCAACCTCTGCACGCTAGCTTCACGTGCTCAGTATGCTTTCCGTGCGGAGGCTGCGGAGACTGCACGGCTACTGCACTGAAATTGCACGATTTCCGTATAATCTCCAAGCAGCCTCTGTACGGATTTGCCCCGGATTGCCCCAGAAGGCAAATACAAGAAATGGCACGATGCTCGTAGATAATGTAAACAAAAACATGGTAGTCCGTATCCTCATACTATGCCCCCCAAATCGCACGAAAAATCGTAGACTAATTTATCGTATGGCGCCCGGTGCAAATGTAATCCAAGCATTAATGCCTGGATTAAATTTGGTATGCGATTAGTCTACGGATCTCGTATCCTGCCCGTACCCTCTTATTCGGTGCGGCCTCTGTGCGGAGGCAGGAGGCGGTCTTGAGATATTCTTACGGATTCACGGGCTCCGCGACCTCTACGATTTTGTTTCGCGGAAGCTATACAAATTTGAAAAATCGTAAGCCCGTAGACTAGAGACATGTTGTATGTGGCATTGCACGATCCACATGGTCCTCGGGCGGAGGCCTCGCGCTGATTGTGCAGCAAACGCACGATTTTTCGGTGAACATGGGGGTAAAAAAAAACGTTCAAAAAACGGCACGGTGTCTGAACGGTCACCGAGCCTTCCTGCGCAAACTCTGCAAGGGCTTCGTACGATTTCCGTGCGGAGACTGCACGGCTACTGCACTGCAATTGCACGATTTCCGTACAATCTCAAAGCCGCCTCTGTACGGATTAGCCCCACGATAGTCGTATGTAATGTAAACACAAACATCGTAGCACGTAGCCTGCTACGATGCCCTAAAAATCGTACGAAAAATCGTAGACTAATCTATCGTGCGGTGCCCGGAGCAAATGTAATTTCGGCATTACAGGGACTTTGTTGTTAATAAATGACCAACATAGGCCCTTATTTCTTTCATTTAAAATAAAATTCATGAAACGAAAAGATGATGCTGTACATGTCAAAGACATTTGATTCCTTCTTCCTTGCCCATTCTGTACAGGGTGGGGAGCTCGTGAACAGACCGGACGCAAGAGTTGAAACACCCCTGCATGTCGCTACCCTTTTTGCCTTCCGTCGATCATTGGAATCCTTGTTACTCGACGATGTAGGTCAAACCTGCTTGCAGCTTGCAACAAAATTCTGACGGATCATCCGATGTGAAAGTCACCAAAGATTTGTCTAAGGTATGATAGATTTAAAAAGTGCAAGCACTTGCCGAATGGCGTGATACTTCTTCAAAATGGTCATGCATTGATCATTCATTTTCTAGTAATACCCTCGAATTGTTCTTAGGAATAAAATTATCATCATTTCGATTCAGTCGTAGCCATGGCAATTATTAGGTACAGTAGTACCTATTACTGCTGACTTTTCATGTTCATTTCAAGAAATGGAATCATGAAAAATTATGTCTTTGAAGAAGCGGATGTCCAGGACATGTTATCTCCCCAAATAAGTTTCACTTCCTCTTTCGCTTGTTCTTTACCTTTCCATTTCTCTCGCTCTACCGCCCTCTCTGTTTTCATTATAAATCGGGTGTCAGTTTTCCCTAATCCCAGACTGCACTTTATCTTTTTGTTTACAAGTCGCGTTACCAATGGCAATTACCCCATCTTTCATTCTCCTTTTTTCTTTATAATCCCCTACACATATATGCCCCTCTCTGTCTCCCCTCTTTCAACCCTATTCCATTTCCCTCTCCCCATCCTTCTCTGTACCTTCCCCATCACAGCTTCCCTTGCCTCTACTTCGCCCCTCCATCGACTCAATTATCTCAACCATTTCTATTTATACGCTCTCTTCTGCTCTAACATTCCCTCTTGTCATATCTTCCCTGCATCTCTGATTCTACATCCTCCGTTTTCTGATCCATCATGCCATCCTGCATTTTCCTATCCCTAGTATCTCCTTTCCTTTCCCCCCTCCCCTCTTTTACCCCTACTTTCATTCTTTCCATCGCTCTCTACGTCCCTTTTCTTCCCTTCTTTCTCCCTCTCCCGTCCTTCCCCCTCCATTTCCACCTTCTCTTTATTTCCTTATACCCGCTAGCTTTCAACCTGATCCCAACTCATCCGTTCTGCATTTCCTCCGGCATTTTCTGTACATTTCCTTCACTAGATCTCCTCCTTTCTCCCCTGCTCCAATTTTCCCCTTCTCCACCTGTCTCTACTTCCCCTTCCTTCCCTCTTTACCCCTTGTCCCCTTCATTCCCCTCCCCTCTTCTCCCCATATTCCACTTTCTCCTCCTCGCATCTCTCCCCAGGAATGGCGATCACAGGGGGAGGGATCGTCCCCCCTCCTGGAAATTTTGAAAAAGTGCAAACAAAAAATATATAGCAAACATTAACTGCAACACATTTTTTGGCTCTGGAGGGCCCAAGAGTGCAGCGTTTAGACTAATAAAAATGCAAAAAATCTTCTCGCTCGGTCGCTACGCTCTCTCACATAATACCCTTTAAAATGTACAAGTAAAATATTTAAAACCCTTCGGACTGCACACTAATAACCAGCTAAGAAATGGTGAAGCGTGAACAAAAGCATATTGCTTGTTTTTATACTATAATTTTGCTAAGGAATGTAATTTTGTTAATACAACAAAACTTCGAAAGCCTGTGAGGAGTATTGACTTTCGTTACCTTCACCTCTTTCGTTCACTATGCTCCCTCGTCCGTCGCCTTTCGCCCCCCGGTCATGAAGAGAAATCGCCGCCCCTGTCTCCCCCTATGTCTTTTCCATCATCTCTCTCTTTCTCTCTCTCTCTCTATCTCTCTCTACCTCTGTTTCTCTCTCTCCCCTCCTATCGCGTTCTCCCTTTCATTATTTGATCTACCTTGCATTAATCATGATTTTGATAATAAACAATAATAATGCCAATAATAATAATTATAGTAAACATGAATTTAATGATCTATGATATATATAAGGCGCCGA